GTTGGCAGGGAGATACCAATAATTGACCTGAAACACCCATTTACTTTTGGTTAAAATCCTAGAGATACACACCATAGTCAACTCTCCCTAGAAGAATCCCCGGGGAGTTATCTGGCCAAAATCGATGAAATATCTAATTATTAATAAATTCTTCTAAATTTAAAAAAATTAAAAAGTTCTTTTTTTAATTTAAAAAATTTCATCAATTCTCCCCAGAGAAATCCCTGGGGAGTCCCCCAAATAAAAAGTCCCCGGGGACTCACGACAGGTACTCCCCAAGGATTTCGTTATTTTGCGGGAACTCCCCGGGGAGTCGTCGGGGGAGAGTGGACTATGGCAGAAACCGTCCCGTGTTAGATAAAAATGACAAGTCTTAAATAAAGCATAAGAAAATCAATTATTATTAAATGCATGATTTTTATTTAATTTTTCTTGTAACGACGTATGATAAGCCACCTAGAAGATCAGATGCGTAAATGCGCTTTTTAATCGTATTCGGTTGTTGCATTTATCGTAGACTACTGCTTTTTAAAAGTTGTATGTAGATAAAAATATTGTCCACTCTATTGACTAGTAACGTATTTGACAAGTTAGATCTCTCTTTGTGTTTGATATATATTTTCATTTGGCGCCTCATTTACATAATTTTTGAAAGCAGAAATGTTTTACTCGACATTTTGATATTTCGATATTTTGATTTTCGGCGTTTTTCAGGAGAATACTTTAATAAGGAGGAGGCGACAAAATCTCACTCTTCAACTTACACTCATAATTTTCTTCGAAAATATGCGTGAATTTCACAAAACTTCATGAATCCGTAGCTCTAACTTCTTTTTATTTGTTCATATCGAATTAGATTTAAACCACTCTTTTTCAATGGTATAAACATGCGATGCTATTGGGTAATTTAGAAGTTGGACAAAAATCTACTCTTATGTTCATTCATAACCTACTCGTAAGCATAGACTAAACTGAATAATGAAGTTATATGATATTATATCGATCAGCGCGTTTTGCGATATAGAGTGGTAGATCCAAATTCCATCACTGATTTTGAAAAGTTCCAGTAAAACCTCTATATTTCCGCTTCCTGAAGTCTGTTTGAGCTGATTTTTAGATTCCGGAATAGACAAAACATTTTTCTATCGAATTGTATAATTTTCATCAAGATACGATTCGTTTTGAGTGAGCAGCAACAAAGATACAAACACCTACTTTGATTTTTGTTCCGTTCTGCCCATGTCTTAATTACATCATTCCAGCCAAAATGCATAGGATTGGCATAAAAAACATGTTTTCAGTCAGAATATCATAATTTTTTCGAAGGAAAATTACATCATTTGATTCAAGAGATCAAGCTCTATCGATTGATATGTTTCTTATTACGAATAAATATATCTTTTATATATTTTTTCTCGTAACAATCAACTTTTTCGTTTGATGCAATTTAGTAATGTAACGTAATTCCATCGCACCAGCTATTCGTCTTTCCTTATTTCATCATGTGATAGAAAATACATGTAAAATTGTCCATCATCAGTAATGAAAACATTGGCGCTAGTTCAACTACATAGTTTTACTAGACAATCTTTACAAAAAATGTAGCTGAACTCAGTGGCAATCTGTTAATGAAAAGTCANCTTTGTTGCTGCTCACTCAAAACGAATCGTATCTTGATGAAAATTATACAATTCGATAGAAAAATGTTTTGTCTATTCCGGAATCTAAAAATCAGCTCAAACGGACTTCGGGAAGCGGAGATATTCGATATTTTTTATCAGATTTGAATATCGTGATGGCATTTGGAACAACCACTCTATATATATATTAGTATTATCTTATTAGCAGAATTCTTTGAATGCATATTTGCATTATTATTATTTCAAACGGATATTTAAAGCGTTCTGTACAACGAACTTTCTCGCGATTTTGAAGAAGTAAGCGGTAATATCTATATAAGCACAGGATAACTAAATTGAGAATGTAGACATAATTGGATCAAATCACAGCGTCTGGCGATATCGACACAAGCTTTACATAATTAGTTTTTAGAAACATTAACAGTTAACATAAAAGTCAGTGAGTTAGACATTTGTCTACTCATAGATCAACTTTTCATTAAAAATAGAAGCATTCATTTTCATACTTCTTCTCATCATCATGAATATATGATTTCCTCTGTTTCTATCAGGAAGGAAAGTCGTGCTAACTTACTATTGTGCTACCCAATAATTGGTTTTTTAATATATAAACATTGTTTTGACATTTCTCTCTGCTTACCTAGGTATTGTTACACTTTCCTAAATCAAAAAGGAACTTCATGTCTTACAGCCGACAAGTCAATATATATGTGGCAGGCGAGTTTGGAATAGTTTTTCTCTTAATTTTTTTAATAGAATTTTTGTTGAGATCTGACTTTAGAAATTCTTATATTTAGAATTATTCCTTGCATCTTTTTACAATGAGCTTTTAAATAATTCGACTCTGTCTATTTTTTAAACTATGGGGCCATTGAATTTATCTGAGAAATATTTCTTCTCTATTCTGTTTTTCTATAATCTGTTATCACGAGCAGAAGAAAAAGAAAAATATATTTTTTCGATTAATCATTTTTTTCGCGCATTCCAATCTCAACTGAATTTCTCATGTCAACTATGACATATATTTCATGCTACATTCGCTTTAAAAAGATTCTTTTGATTGAGATGCTAATTCATTATCTTCACGTTGAAGTTTGTTGGAACACTGAGTCATCGCTGCTACATTCTTTATCGTTAGCTGTTTCTGCAGGAGCTTACAAGATTAGCTTTATCATAGCTGATCTCACCATAATCATCTGAACTGGTGAGTTCATGGCTCGATTTTGAGACATACTCTCAGTTCATTCAACAAATAATCGCTTAGATGTTGTCATAGCATTTGACATGTGTTGTTTCTCGCTTTGCAATAAAGTCTAGGAATTTTTATTTATCATACTCTTAACTTAGATGTTAGTTGTTTTGTTGTTCCAATGTAGTCAATCTTTGTTGATTTATTTTGACAAATTTATTCACTTGAATCTCTTTCTGATACTGAAAGTGGGAGACAATAGTAATACTACAAACGATTTTTCAATATATATATATATGTTTACTTGCATTTTGTAACGTAAAGATAACAGTAAATCAGCCAGGTAATAAAAAAAAGGAAATGAAATTTAACAAGCACTTCTACTCTCTACCAATTTTGACAACTGATAAAGGCAATATGGTATATGTCGAACTAACATGAAACGTTTTTATACTTTAATTCAAACGCATGAGAACACCAATAAAATGGTGTTACAATCAAACAGTGTTAGTCTTCTTTGTTTTCTGAATTCTTTTTCTGTGATCTTTTTCTTCTTAAGTTCCTGGGGACATCTCGCGCAGCCTAATAAGACGCTTGAAGAAGCAAAAAATGAGAAAAAGTAAGAAAATTATCGTAAATCTACTAGTTGGAAGCAGAAGACAAAAAAACGGAGTATACGATGCTAGGGGGCATCACTTTTTATAGAAGCGAGAGAAGCTGACTAACCGAGCGAGCGTAGATGAAAGAATATGAGATGTGAAAAGAATGTTTTTCCCATGATTATGTGTGATGGTAGAACATATCATGTAGTTAGCATCTTACCATCCAGAAATAGTTCGGCAATGATTGCTGTTAATGCATGAAGACATCGAGATTTGAAAACCTAAAATTTAAAAAAATGTGATGATCTCTTAAAAATAAACATCTATATTTCGAACAATGATTTCATAGTAAGCGCTCTATTAATATATGCATATTAGTTGGAAATTAAATATTTCTTAAAATAACGTTTTTCTTTTTTAATTTTTATGCTACCACGAGATGAGAACCGTATTAAATCTTAGTGCGACAAATATCATGCTCAATTGTATTGTGAGACTCTTCAAGGCGTTTGATGATTTATACGCTATATATTTGTAAGATTACCGAAAAGTGAGTTTGTTCAAGAATCTTATAACACCACTTAGTACAAGATGTGTCAAATTATGACTTCCTGTATGGTTCTTTCTAATGTAATAGCACTTTGTATCGAATATTTTACCCTAATATGTGAATATATCACTGCAGAACTTCTTGATGGCGGCTCTCAACCCTTTACAAAAACCAAAGGAGTCCTAGATAAATAGGCTAAACAGTGCAATCTTGGACTAGGGATTATCAATAGCAGCAGTAAAACTAGTATAAATCGGTGAAAGCAACGTTTGTAAATTTTCTGTTTGCAACGTTCAAAGAGGTCCTATTGAAGAAATCACGGAGTATTTTAGTTTCTGTATCGAATCCAGAAAGATTCCCTAAGCAAAATTAATTACTTTTGCACATAGATAGCGCTGACTCCAATCATGATTCTATCAAAGGAACCATTGTGGAATTCCTTAAAGTCTGTTCTTCTTTATAAGAATGAATAGCAAGTTCTTATGACTCATTATGAATCTAAAAGAATATATTATTGTGCTACATGTGTAATTCAGTTCTTATCGATAATTTCTCAAGTATCTCGAAGACTATGATTTCTGTTATTCAAGAGAATTTCAGTTGCATATTAAATAGTTTTTATAGTATAGCTTTATGTGATAGATGAAAATAACCCGCAGTAAGATGAACCTTTAGATCAACACCTGAATATACGCAAGAAAGGTATGTGTTGAATTCTTTATATGATGAAAGGGGATCACTTCAACAATAGAATAAAATTAAGTGAATTTACAGAGAGGAGAAAAAAGTGATTTATCACTGAATAGTTCAGTACAGTATTACTCTTGGTATTTTGTTGTATCATAATTACACCACTAACATTAGCTACTATCATCAATATTCTCAATTACACAAAAATTTAATTTACACCTTAGATTTTGAAAAATTCTGCATACACTTAAGAGCAGCACGAAACTATATATTTCAGTGAAATATAAGCTCGACAGTTGGAAATGTCTATTCGGCGAAAGCGAACTACAATGTGCATTTGCATATTCATCATTATAATCTTTCTACTATTAATTCAAACTGTACGCTATATATTCAGACGTCGTTCTCCAATTAAATATGTAGACGAGGCAGATTTATCTCGATTTGGAAATGTTTCGTGGCCTCAACAACGTATACCGCGTGTGATTCATCAAACATATCGTACGTATGATGTACCTGAAATATGGAACTCAACGGTACAGTCAGTGATGAAGATGAATGTGGGCGATTTTGAGTATCGCCGATGGTCTCATTCGGACATGGATGCATTTGTTCGACAGCGTGAACCTGACTTCTATAGAAATACTTTTGTCCATTATGCATATGATATGCAACGAATAGACTCATTTCGGTACGTACTAATGTATCACATAGGTGGAATCTACATCGACATGGATAGTGCTTGCTATCGTCCTCTTCGAGAATTTGTCGCCACTCTGGAAGCACTTGATCCAAGCTCACCTTATCTTGCTCTTTTTCCTGCTGAAGATGCATTCGGCGTTCAAACGGACTTCATTGCTGCTACTCCCGGACATCCAATATATAAACAGTTTATTTCACAATTACCTCTGTTTCATCACTACTTTCTCATTCATCATATCACAATACTACTTAGTGCTGGACCACTCTTTGCTACTTTTCAAGAGCGCTTTTTTCGTCAGACGGATCAACAAGTTGTACGAATATTGAAAAATAAAATCTATACCACTGAGTTTTGGAAAACAAATGGAGGTACATGGTTTGGTCGCGATACTCTGTTCATATTATACATCTATTATAACAGCAAGCGTCTTCTTGGATACTTAATTATTTTGGCTATCTGGCTTGCTATTTTTTTCATTGGGATCATCATTTACAGACGATGGCGAAGCCACTGTCCCAAGAGTCTAACTATGATACAAGTCAATCAGTACCCGTTATTGAAAAATTCCCCATTACGCTTGATACGATTGAAGCAGAAAGAAAGTCGACCGGAATAGACATCTTATTTTCATAGAAACAAACATACAGATATTCTAGCCAGAAGTTTTCTTTTGAAAACTTATTGACGTGACTCTGACTTGAACATCTACATCAAAACACAAATGAATGAATGATGGGCGTACAAGATAGTCTATCAACTAAAGACTTCAATCTGAATGGTCTCGTATGTTTTCCCTATGATTATATTTTTGCTCCTATTTTCTCAGATATATACTTTTTATTGCTGTTAAATTGCTACTCTTCTGTTGCACATCACTTCTTTATATTTTATCTACATTGCTTTTTTTTCGTGCGAATACACTTCTATCAAAATAGAGTCAAACGATTATTTAGCATTATATTTTGGCATAGATCATTTGTATCGCTAGTTATTTATAACATATATTTCTCATAAGACCCAGAAGATTATAGAACTTATATAGATGTACAAAGCAATGTCTCTATACGATGACCATTTAGTCAATGTCTAAAACTTATAAATCAGTTCGCACGTAACCTCAATATCAATTGGCTCAATCAAATATAAAAGATTTTTACTATCAGTGCCAACTTATCTTATTTTTTTTTCGGTAGCATTTATTTGAAAAAAAAATGTTTCAGCAACACATGATTGAAATATTCGAAGAGAATCTAGTGAGGAGACAATTATTTTATGTAGCCCTATGAAATTGAAGAAGAATCAATTAGAAAAATGCGCTGAGCAGATTCTAATAGTTAGATAAGCAGATTTCCAACTGTACTGAAAATGTGAATCTGTACATGATGCAAAATATTCTATTAGATAAAGAAAAATTATCAAACAAATATAAAATTGTGTCTGCGCGTCTATCTATATAGTAGATATAGACTGGGATATTATAGCTATAACATTGAATATGTAATCGTAGGAGATTTTCTTCACATAAAAAGCTACTGAGACGAATAAATTGGTTCAAATAACTATTGAAAATCGCAACCTATAACTGGAACAGAACTAGATTGTAATCACTCTGGTGTGCCCGAAACAGATATGAATAACTGAGGCTTTCATTCTTCTGGATAAGATAAAACACATGAAGAATAATACACGCGTCGTCGTAGTAGCCGATTGGATACAGTCTGACGGCTTTAAAGTGCGAGTATTGGCATTCTTATTTAAATAGAACTAAAATTTAATGATAATTTCCAACCAACAGTTTATTGATATTGATACGGACTCATGATATTTATATGATGATACTAAATGAGTTTTTGTTTATAGCATTTCCATGGAATGATTATATTTGACATTTCATCATCAATAAGCTCTAATAAATAGTATCGTGAATTTTTATTTATTTAGAGATACAAGCTTTTAGTCAATTAAACAAAAAAAAAACAGAAAAGTTCTTATTGTACAAAAAAAACAAGATTCGACAGATTACCAACGTTTGAGGAAAACAAACAAAAGAGAAGTGATCTCTGTATCACTGTATACTATTTCATATGATTTTAGGGTTTAAAGAGCTTGGACTCGTGTATAATATGGATTTGAGCTTGCTAGTGATGCTAGATCAGATGCAGTCGATGGACCATATCGTTGTTGCTGATATTGTCTATGAACTGGTATTGAATCTACACTATCGGCAAGATAATCGTTACTCGTGTGACTTTTTGCCGATGGAAACATAACATCATTATGATGAATTAATGGTTGTCGTGGTTTTATTGAAGATTTCAAAGTATCAGTGCAAGGTGAGTGATGATGATGGTGATGATTATTATTATTATTATTATTATTATTTCGTCGGTGACGAGAATAACAAAATATTAAGAAAAGTATAATACCAAGAATAAGCAAAGGAATGACAATTGTATAGAGTAAAATATAAGAATCATTGGTTGGTGTCATTTTACCTGAAATCACAATATAATATATACGTAAAGCAATATATTTTGAAAAGTTGAACATGAACGTATATACATAGTTTTCAGTTTTTGATTATTTATTCATGTTTTTATCTAACGGAAAATTAGTGCTTTTCAAAATAGAGATTAATCTCTACCATGAGATGTTATCTGATTATATTTCTAGAACGATCAATAACACATTTTAGCTATCTATAGTATAATATATAAAAGCAGCAGTTCGTTCGGATGAATATCTAATCGTAAATAAAATGGTGCTCTTACACAACATATTACATCGCTTCTAGCCAATAATTTATGAATTCCATAATCGATTGATTGACTATGAGAAAAACTTTTAAGCTCATACATTCTTCGGCAAAAAAAATAATTTTGCATCGGATATATTTAACACCATAAGAGTGAGGACATCTAAAAAGAATTTAGCGAAAAGAGCATGATAATATCTCTAGCTCTATACTATGACGTTTGTACGAATTACTCATTAAATTTTAAAGGTGAAAATGCGTAATTTGGAAAAATGAGTTTGAAAAAGTATATCACAATTTCGTTTTCTTAATTTTCACTTTTAAACGAAGGAAACTTTCACACTTCAAAAAATTACTAACAACAATACGTTAGTTAGAAAATAGTCATTGACTACGATTTAACTATTTAAATCAATATCCTCATGGAGATAGTATGTGGTTAGTCAGTATGCATGGGAAGCTTAAGTAATTAAGCGGAAGGAACTCTGAGTCAGGCCGGCCTTCTGTCCAGAGCTGCAGCTAGTAATAGTTGTAGGGAAAATATTCGGCTCTTGAAACTGTCTCCGGACAACACCCTATACTGAAAGGTAGCCGCAAGGCAAGGGTATTCTTTCTTTCTTTCTTTCTATTTAAATCGTTAACTCAAGAACACTATATCACAAAAGTAATATAAATGACCAAGTTTCTAACTTTCTTCCAACACGCTTATTTACATTGCGACTAATCTAACGAAACATATGCTGAAACCATTGTAAAAAATTTAGCCGAAACTTTTCAATAATAATTTTAAATGCCTCTCAAATAAGTCGAACAATCATTTTTTCAACAAGTAAAGTCTAATAATGTCATTTCTATTGTTTTTACCTTCGTGAATATTGATAATATTAATTGAGGCCGTTTTATAGTTAGTAGCTTTATCATTTTGAATTAAACAAATGTATTGTCCACTGTCGTTTATATGTATTCGTGGAAAAACAAGTGGTTTTGAAAGAATATTATTCAAATATTGTTGTTTTATAGGTTGTTCAATCGTTTCGTATTGTTCAGAACCGAATACAATAGAATCAGGTCGAAATAATTGTTGATTTTCAATTTTTTTCAACCAATATATTTTTGTCATTGGATCGTTAGTTTGAACACGACAATTAAGTATTGCTACTTGCCCTACTTCAACAGTTAAATTTTGAGGATCATTACCAAAAAATTGTAGTCGCTCTAATACAGAAAAACAAATGGACACAAAATTTAAAAACAAAACATTGCAAGCTTTCAATACCGGTAACAATAAGAATATATGTAGAATTAATCGTGCCATACGAATTAAATAATTCACATGTATAGTTTCCAGTATCTGATTGACGTAAATCTTTGATATTTAATATTTGACTTCTACAAACACAGAATGATATTAACAAAACGAACAAAGATGTTCAAATCACACTTACTGAGTTATTCCAAATTCATCTTCGGATAATATTTTACCATTTTTTTTCCATCGTATTTCTGGTGTTGGTTTACCAGATGCTAAACACTTTAATTGGACCGTTGTGCCTTCTGGCTGAATAACTTTAGTTGATTCAATTTTACTTCTATCGTTTCGTGAAAGAAATTTAGGCGGTTCTATAATAGAAACGACATCATCGAAATACATTGAAAACTAATAGAAACTGACCACCATTAAATGATTTAACATCCCAAACTATCACACTTTCTTCTTCATTACTAAGAATACTATTCGATGATGTTTCATTTGCTAAAATAAACTTTTTCTCTGATAGAGAAGCAGAAGTGAAATGTAAGACAAATTCATACATTTAACATTAACTTGAAATTGTGCTTGCACACTACCAAATCCATTGACAACATTGCATTTATACAGTCCGGCATCAGTTACATGTACACGATGGATTTTTAAAAGAAACCGTTTAATCAATAGATTCGCTGTTGTCCACATGGGATCTAAATCTTCATTATTTTTCGACCATTGAACAGATAAATCAGATGTAACAGTAACTGGACAATGTAATTCAAGTGGTTCATTTTCATTGATTTCGACTGCTATTAGATTAGGTGTTTGTTTCAAAAGAACTGGTGGACCTAAATATTATGCACGTATAGAAAAGGCAGCGAAAAACCAACGATCGTTTTCAATTTAGCCACGATGATGGCTCTATTTGTAGAACATATCATGGCACGAAATAAACAAATGTAATTCAAACTGTAAGGCTGTAAAAACTCCACTCACTAATCCATAGTGTCAATAACTGAAATTTTTTGTCATCATTGAACAAGACAAGCTGAAAATTATATATTGACATCTTTTTATTATCATTATTGCAAAGTAGAATTGGAGTGCTAACTTAAAGAAGTCATACGTAGCAGCCTACTATATATCTAATGATACATAAGACATTTTATTTTTCTTTCTCGTATGAACATCCAACTATATGATTAGTTCTATTGACATAGCAACTCTAATTTCAAACTAGACTATTATCATTATAAATGCCAAATAATGAAGCCATACATTTCGAAAAAAGAAAGTGGTATCTTATTCTACGTACCTCGAGCAATAATACTTTCGAGAAAAACAAACAACAAAACAAATAATATTGGATTCATTTGTTTTGGAAATGAGATGAAATCTAAAATGAAATGAAAACAATTCAACAAGACAATCGACTGTATCGTAATACAACACGTTTTCTCTAAGAATAACAAATACCAAAGTTCAGTTAAATAAAAACATTTTTAATCAGCATAAAAAAGGAAGAAAAAATTCCAGATAAAAGAAGATGATCAATGCAAATATACACGCTATCCGTTGGATATATGCTCACATAATGTCTTATCAGTTATCTCTCATGATAGCGAGAATATGCAATCAGTAGAACGATTATAATCTTATGTCTGTTTACAATATCTTGCCATTTCATACCGACATAGATAATTGTCTTTGTATACAGTCATCAGATTAAAGAATATTTCATCATTCGAGCCTCTTTGGTTCACTTGAAACGTTCTGTTAATGAACCAAGAGATATACTTCTTATTCAAATCAAAATAAGTTAAATCGGACAGCTAACGTGTGCACTCGTCAAGCATATAATCTTGAATCAATAGATTCATTGATCATCATTACCTGTTCGTATACTGATCATGGCCTAGTTAGATGAATACATGGGAAGAAAAGATAATAGAGGAGTGAACATCCGTGACTTGTTGTTATGAATTAATATAAAAAAAATGAAACTGTTCACATAGAAGTTTATTTACTTTAATTTAATATTTGAAAATCATGAAATTAAAGCCGTACTTTTCTCATATTCACCAATAAACTTATGCACATTCTCAAAACCACACATGGCTACTATTATAGAGAAATATGAGAGAGAGAGAGAAATAATCTATTGCATATGTCTGCAAAAAAATTGAACGTTGATAACAGCAAGGCTTTTTATTTTCAGTTATTCAAATTTATTTCTCCATGATCAACATTGATACGAAATGGAAATGACTTACTTAGTACCATCTAGGGGTTTTTCTCGTTTTAGTGAGTGTCCGATTGTCAGATCAACATGGAGTGTGAAATCTTTACTCGATAAAACTATATTGACCTATATTGTGTTGATGAAAATGACGATAGTAGTTATCGAGTGAGTTGATATATATATATATATATATACATATGTGTGTGCCTATAACACTGTACGGGGAGAAGAAGAGAACAAGTGGACACGCGATGACGAGACCGTAGTTATGAACAGAGAGAAAGAAAAAATATAGGAGATACTGAAAGAGAAATAGTTATACAGAGAGGCAATAATCAATCAGACGAGAGAGAGAGAGAGAAAAGAATAAGGAAAGTGACAGACGAGTACATTATTCGTAAATAGAGAAAGAAAAGATCTAAGTAATGCCATGAGAAGTGCCAATCAACAAATTGAATGGAATTAAGCTAGTAGAAACAATTTTCCATGGTTTTGATCATCTAATGAATATGATGATGGGCTACTTAGAATAAAAATGAGTGCATAGTGAATATTGAATTTCACTATCTTAACGGCTTCTTTCTTACATGAACATACAATTAATGGGTCGCTAAACTTATCAACTTCATCAAAGCATAATAAATACAAAAAAATGATCGGCAATTATTGTTAAATGCACGATAAATGACACAGATAAATTGAAGATTACCATATTATAATCATCATTCAATAGAATGGGAAAAGTTCATGTTTTAACAATATCTATCTATTAGTCAATCGATGCAATGTTGTTTTTGGTGGATTCGATAACAAACCATTATCGTTTTTATTTTTGTTTTGGCGAACTATATTTACATGAGACAATTAGCTAAGATGATTGATAATTCGGAAGTTAAAACATATGCAATATTTACTCATACTGCAGGTACAAAATCACGAGTATATGTGAATTATGATCGTTCTGCCTTTATCACATTTATTAAATATTCATATAATATAGACATTCAATTGACACATTTTGTTTGGTTTTCTTCTTTAAGAATTCTCACTTTAAAACAAAAAAAAACAATGACATCATATGCTATTTGTCAGCTACTTTTTTTTCTCCTTCTTTAATCATTCAACGTCTTATTATCATCATCGACGACAGTGGACTAATCCATTTCTACATCATTTTAAGATGATGTGTTGAAATACGAGTTGCTTTCATCTATTCAAATACCTACGCAGTGTTAGTCTAATAACTTGAGTATACATGAATGTAATTTTCTTTCTATAAGTGTTATTGTTCAATCATCATATGATTATAGAACGATTGGAAGAAATATCGACCACATATAGCAACAAAAAACAAAATAGCAGAAAAAAAATTGTTATTATTTTTTCAAGTGCTTTTTGTTTAAGTTGAGACTGGCGTCATATCCATGTATAAACTGTTAAGAAAACAACAGAACAGATAATCATTCTGCTGTTTTAAGATAAACAAATTTATACTCAAATGCAAATGAACAATGACGATGATGAATAGATGAACAGACGAAAGCTAAATGGACAAACAATACAGATATAGCAACTAGCCAAAAAAATGAAGAGCATCGCTCGACCTTTTTTTCTTATTCATCAGTATATAATTGAATGCAACAATCAGAATATGTGAAAAAAATTTGAATATATAATCATTTTGAGGAAAATCTAATTTTATATTCAATCAGCTTCTTATGAAATTGTATCACTAATAATATCACTCGAGTTAAGATGAAATTGTTCAATGTGACTTATATTGGGTGGCATAAAGCAGCGTTACTATGAAACATTCAATCTTTCAAACCAAGGGAAGCCCTCTGAGCTATCAGTGAGAAAAAAAATGATTGTCTGTTTTCGGTTTAAAGTGCGCATATTTACTTGTGCAATATTCAAAAAAAAAATATAATAATCTCAAAAGTCTTCTTATCGTGAAGTATGAAACCAGATTAGCATATTTGATTACTTTAGTTTCAGTGTCTAGCACAGTATCGGTCTTGACGTCAAACGTATTATCGTAATCAATCGAAAGGACTTTGAACTTTTTGTCGTAATATTGACATGATTCAATTGTCATTTGTTTTACAACACGGCAAGACCAACTTTTTTTTCATTGAAGCATTCGTCAAAAAAAGTGTTTAGAATACTTTACCGTTTCTAAAATACAAAAATTAGAGAATTAATACGAAGCTTTGCAATTGATTGATGTTTTTCTTTAACAGCAAAAATTAGCTCATGTCGCAAAATGTGTCATAATACCATTGATTGTTTCTCTTGCAAGACAATAGTTATTTATTGTGCACGTTCATGATTGTTCGTTTTTAGTTTTGGTGAGTCAGTTAAGTGAAGTGATTAGAATATTAAGTTCAAGAATAAATATAGCAATTGCAATGTGCCCTAGTTTTGTTCGCTTATGTTTTTTTCTTTTTCTTTTTCTGCTTCTTGCACGATGAAGTGCAAGTGGATGCATGCATATGGGAAAGTGACAATTCACATTTATTGACACTCAAATCAATATCGAATATAATTTATATCTCGATTGATTCTTTAATATTATACCATACATTTACTCGGGATTTATAATCGATTACATAAACAGATTCAAAGAAATATGCAGCTAAGATAGGGAAGAACGTTTCGTTGATTCAGAAAAAGCATCTGATATTTGATGTATATAAATGGAAAAAGATTCAAATTGGCTAAAACATCAATAAAAGACTGTTAAAATTTATTTATTTACAGAATTACACATGGAAAAAAGCTTTCTAATAAAGGTATGCATTTGAAATGTGGTGGGCCATTGTCGAGAGCAACAGTGTGTGTTTTGGGTGACGAAAGAAAAAAAGGTAAACTAGCAAACTTTGCAATCTTTGAGTTTTTATTTTCTTGCTTTTCATTCAGTTTTTAAATTTTATATTAAAAAATAATTTTGGATTTCTTCTCATTTTATATGTGTAAAAAATGATTTCATTAGTTGATCAAAACTTCAAATCTACTGATTAAATTTTAAGGGTTTTACTCTTATTGGTACATAAAGAGAAAACTGACCATTTTTCAATAGTCATTGTTAAATATTAACGCTAAGCATCTACCTATACTGATATAGTATAGATCTATAGCTATTTATCTTTCTACATCCAATAGTAGAAGTCAGAATATCTTCGATATTAAAAACACCATAGATATTTCAAGAAGTCGCCGACGAAAGTTTTTGGTCTCGATAGAAACGGATCTCTACGTAAATATTATTTTATTAAAGTTGAAGCTTCAACAAGAAATCAAAATTACATTGTAAGCTAGATTACAACTAAATCTTGAAGACATGCATAAACGCTACGCGGTCTATAATATATATATATAATAACTGTATAGGATGGTTCAAAATTGAAATAACAGATACTACAGGATAGATGAGTATCTTGGTATTTCTTAAATCATGCTTGTTATTTTTCATTCTCCGATCTTGAATTTTCTCCGAAAAGATACGCCATTCAGTTCTCCATAACACCTGTACCACAAGATTTTCTGTTGAAAATCGAACGAAAATATATTCAAACGAATCGTTGACACGTAGAAAAGAGCCAACTTCCACAGCTTAAAAATCATTTCTTCAGGTTTTTTTTCATTCTGATTGAAAACGAATATTATACCAGATTCAGAGGCGCAACATGACCTTGACTTTTTTGTTTTTCTTCTATTCGGCAGGCGCCAAATATCCAATTTTAGTCACATTGCATATGATTTTTAAAAGTTAGTTTTGTTCGACTTTTAATTTGATTTCAACGATTTTTCAACTACTCACCGAGGAATACACACCCTCACTACCGCTTCTTTATCTGTAGATCTGGATGGAGATGGTAAATTTCATTGTTTTTAAGTGGCTTTTAAAGTTTATTCTTTTAATTCTTCGCTTAACTTTCAATAGAAAATCTGTTTGCACAGGTGTTCTATAGAATTGAATGTCGGATCTTCTGGAGAAAAGTTTAAATCCAGAGAATGAAAAAGTAACAAAAATGACTCACGAGACTCATTTATTCTGTCGCACTCGTTACATTGTTTGCAAAGACATCTCTACATTTATACACGTTTCTTTACTCTCATTCGTCATTTTGTTTGGAGAACATGTTAAAATGCATATATGATTTAAAGATTTTCAGCTTGCCAAAAAAGCATAGGCAATCGTTAAATATGGACCCAATACTTAGATAGACGAGTGTTTTTGTGCATAAATGATTATTTTACTGAAAAACAACTATGAATGTTTTCGTCACTGAATACGTCCTCCTTTCCTACATGATGTCATGTCCATTTAACGATATTCGTTGTCTGGTTATCGAGTAAATATCGAATTCATGTGTTTCTATTGCTTTCAAAAATTTTGTTCAACATTCTATCTGCATACCAAATGTATAAAAGAGACGATTTCACCTTTTTATTTATGATCGAAAACCTTCGTACTCATGGTGTTTATATTATTCGTTGTTGGAAATTCGATTGCCAACGGTGCATCTGAAGATTTTAGTCAATCTAGTCAAGGTTTAAGTAAATATTATTCGAAAACATCTGACTATAATTTAAATTATGAATAAAAATTTATTTTGTTATTCTATTTTCATCTAGCTACGTGTTGCAGTTCTTGCCAGAAACTCACCAGAATAATACTTTTGAAAAAAATTCCACATCTGCTAATAGTTTATTAGGTCCCTTGGGATTCAGTCTATTGCTTTCAAATAAATATTGAGCATATTACCTTCTTGGCAGTTCATATGTCATACATTTTGCTATGTATGCCAGGAAGGAAGAAAACCTGGCTTTCTAAGTATAAATCACGAAGAAAATGAATTCAAAAACCTCTATCCAAACGTTCAAGTAGGATTCAAAAACTGAGATAGGTACTTTTCTTTTTTGATTTTATTAAATAGAAATTGTCTTCAAAAATTAGCTGTCAATGTTTTTTTTTTATAGACATATCAACTCTTCATTTTGTTTCAGATTATAAATGCTTGCAGAGATGACTGTATTACCGCGCATAATACAGAATTTGTTTTCCTATTGTTAGTTTAGTGTAGTATGATTGATAATATCACTTCGATAAAACTGAGTCATTTAGTGAAACTGCCAATATAAAATCTCTTCTCTTTATTTTGTTTTACACCTACGCCTCAATTATAATTACTTCATTGAGGAACCTTATTCTTGCCGTTTCTTTCCAAAGTATCGATAAATAAATATTGCATGGCATACATGGAAGGTATGCATGCTTGACATGAGACCTTTTTGTCAACAAAAATGAATCATTACAGTGTCACAGGTTTTTTATCTTTGTTCGTTTATAATATTTAGAATAGTGAAATAAATTCAACGAACAGCAATATTTTCAATTCAATCAATCCAGTAAATACTTGACGAATTCGATGGCAACAACGAACAACTATCGTACCGAGCCATTCACATTTAATGGTAAGCAGTCGTGTCCATGGCGTGTGATAAGAAATGGTTTAAACATCGAAGGTCTTTGTAAAAATTCCTCGTGTCAAGCTTATGATAAGATGGTAATTATCAATTTGGGCTTTGGTGAATTTGATTTTGCACGTATTGTTCTTCAACGACCAAATAAATGTCCTATATGTAATAGTAAAATTGTACCATTTAAATACGCTTTAAACAATTGTCGATGGTGGTATGTTAATCATTATAGTACAAATTCCTTCGCGTTAAATACAGTCACTGATGCATACGAATTAAATAATTTAGAATGTGAATATAAAATTTTGGAAACGATGCCGCTACTGAGCAGGAACGAAATATATACAATATCTCAAGAAACTGCTTGTCCCATTTGTTTGATAGACATTAAAAATGATGATGAAAGTATTTTTCTTCCGTGTGCGCATTCTTTTCATCGTGCTTGCATTTGTGAATGGTTAACATCTAATCAAATCATGTCACATACATGTCCTCTGTGTAGAGAGCATATTGTTGAAAATTAACAAGTACAATAGCAATGCAAAACATTCTATATTAGAATAGACTATTACATATGCATATTGTTCAACTCTGATATATTATTTTAATAGTTTATATTATTTATGACAACTTGCTAAATAATCATGAATTTGAATATACTTCAAATGATTCCAAAAGTATCAAAGCAAAATTATGTATATGGAACCAGGAGATTCATTATTTATTTAATATTCGAACAGTCAAGAAAAATTTCATAATATTCAACATCTATTTCAGTCTCATATTTTTGATACTCTGCTTTGAAGCGTCTGAATTGTATTTTTTTTACTATTACTTCTGCTGTTCAAGAAAAACAAAAGTTGTTGCATATTCAAGTTTATTGAAATTTAAGAAAAGGAAATTTTAAGACTAAATATTTTTGCTAGAGATAAATACATTTGTGAATGTTGTGGTTCATCAGAGTACAATAGCGAAAATGCGGGAAAGAACAGTTGAATGAGATAAAACAATACTGAAGAAAATTTGAATTCAGCACTTTAACAACACGGAGAAAATACTAACATGAAATACCAATAAGTCATAAATACATAAAATAAGTTGAATACGCATTAAGAACAATATTTAGATAAAGATTTATTTCACATGTCTCTCAAGAATACATCGCATTCTTTACCAGTCGTATACAATGGTTAGTAAATAAAAACTATTCGTATCACCAAGCAATTTTAGCAAGAAAACTATTCGGAAATTTTCTTATCAGAAGTTTTCTTAATTCATCGATTAAAAGCCATAGTATACCGAAGCCTAATGTTGGTAATACATATATTACCGGTGCTGATGCTGTGTGAAATACTTCATTGAACCATTGCACTTTTGTTACCAACAGTTGAATACCAACCGATAAAATCATAGCAATAAATACATACAAATTTTGGCCTTTACCCCAAAATGGATTATGGTCAATAATTGAAGCATATCTTGTACGTGTTGCAAAATAATTAAAAAATTGAAATAAACAAAGTGAACAATAATATACCGATTGAGAAATATATGTCATTTGAATCAACTGTTCTATCGAATATGGTGTCAGAGGGCTTTTACCGAATTTCTCGTAAGTAAACATAAATGAATCGAATGGAACGCCATGATCAATCCAATAGAAACAAAAACAAAAGAATCCTGTAAAACATTCTATATTGCCTACAAAAATATATGCATGAAGAAGTAATTTCCAATTCAATAGATGATCTTTTGAACGAACTGAAGGAGGTCGTGTCATGATATCGCCTTCAGCCTTTTCTGCTACAATAGCAAGTGACATGAAAACATCTATAAAACAAAATCTAATCAAACAGCCAAGCCAATGTTTTAAACATACCATTCAACATGCAAAATATTGTAGCATAGAAAGCTGATAAAGCTAAAGGCATACCGAACCAATAATTAAAAAAGACGGGCCAAATTTGTGACCAACTACCTACAATAAATCGTTTGAAGTGAGAAATAAAATCTGATTGAAAACTTCAATAGATGACCTGCAGGTAAAAGATAGATGGCAACTTTCTTCAAGTTATCACTTAACAATCGTCCTGTTTCAATAGCTTTAATAATTGATGCAAAATTATTATCTAATAATATCATATCACCAGCTTCTTTTGAAACTTCGGTACCAGATTGCATGGCAACACCAAGATTAGCACATTTCAAAGCAGGCGCATCATTGGTACCATCGCCTGTTACAGCAACAACTTCAGCACGTCGTTGAAATTCGGAAACAATCCGTAATTTTTGTTCCGGTGATGTACGTGCAAAAACGAGTTCTTGATGGGATAGCACCCAATCCCACATAAAACTATCCATATAATTTATTTCAGCACCGGAAACAACAACAGCATACGGTATGTATGCCATTTTATCCGTTGGATCAATCTCGCTTTGAGTTTCATCAAATTGATTGAGAATTGACAATCCTATACGTTTATACCATGGATTTCGTTGTGATTCATTATCATGATCGTAGGTTAATTTTCGTTTTGTTATCCGTTTAGTATTTTGCAGTAATGAATTGTTTGTATTTTTTCCATGTGGTTCATATTTTTGAATAAGTTCATCGTTTCGATATAGACTAAGAACAGTTTTACCATCTTTACTTTTTTCTACTTTAAATGTATCGACACCATTCGTGTCAGCAATATCAGGTGTAAGAATATTTACTTGTTTCGCAATAGCTTTTGCTGTTGTTGGATGATCACCAGTGACCATAGCTATACGAATATGAGCTCCACGAGCTTTTAAAACAGCAGCAGGTACTTCTGGTCGAGGTGGATCGAGTAAAGAGAAAAGACCAATGAAACAATAATCATTTGATGGAAATCCACTAAGATCTTCAGCTTCGCTAGGTGTTGATGATTGTTGACTGTCTTTATATTTCTCCATCATGCTATCATACTGTTGACGAGGAAGTTTTTGTTGGCACAGAGCAATAACACGATAACCATTTTTACCTAATTTTTCTTGTCGAACAGCTAATGCGTTCTTCACTTCCGTATCGAATGGTAGGATTTCGTCATTATTCGTTTTATAGGTTGAACATCGTTGCATAACCATATCAGGTGCACCTTTCATTGTTATTAAAACGAAACGATCTTTTTCTACTATGGACGAATCTGATACTTCAAGTTGATTTGCGGAGATCATAAATTTATTTGCTGAATTAAAGGGTAACACTTTTAAACGTGGATTGACACTTTGTACTCTTACAATATCAACAGAACATTGATCAACACAAAGATGATAAAGGGCTGTATCGGCAGCATCACCTACAAGTTTGACTTTTGACGTAGCTCCTACTTTATCTTGACCGAATTCAATGTCTTTTATGATTTGTTTACTCGCATTATTACAAAGAGCTGCACCAATTAGAAGATCACGAAATGCTTGTATTCGAACTTCACTGGCGATATTTAATTTTTCCGATCCTTCAGAACTGTTGTCTACCAATGGTAAACGTTCAGATTCATCCGGATGACTGTTTGACGATAGTTTTCGTGCTAGTTTATTTGCACCGTTCGATAGTCGACGAGCTATCTTTAAAGCATCACTTGATAGTCGACGAATTCTTTGAAAAAACGTGCGAGTTGGTTCTATTTTAGGTTGAGGTATGGGAACATTGTAAACACATTGCGTATCCCATAACAGATGAGTTACAGTCATTTTATTTTGTGTCAATGTTCCTGTTTTATCCGTCGCAATAACAGAAACAGAATTGAATGTTTCCACGATTTGTAAACTTTTGACTAAGACACGTTGTCGATACATTTGTGTGGCAACAATCGTCAATACTAAACAATAGGCAAAAAAAATAATAAACGTAAATTATATGAATTAATAAAATATTCTTAATCTACAACTATGATGGCTAGATTCTTGCTACGATTCTATATAAAAATATTTTAGTGTTTTTAGGATTCTTATAAAACTGTAAGACATACTACTATTTATCTCTTTCAAAGACGCTCGTTCCGATAGAATCACCTAATGTAACAGCAGATGGTAACCCCATTGGTAAGAAAGCAACAATCAAACCAACTGTATTAACGACATTTTGGTCGAGTGTAACAAATCCATGATGGGAATTATTCAGCCATGCACCCCATGTTATCCACAATACAACAATGCCAGTTAGTGTAGCAAGTACAACAAATAAAACAAAACGATTTACTTCACGATGTAGACCAGTAATTTCATCTCCTTCACTTCCACGTGTTAATTTGGACATTTTGCCTAATACAGTACTGTCACCTGTAGCAATGACAACTGCTTCACCGGTTCCTTGTTCGACCATTGATGAATAAAATCCAATATTTTTTGTTTCCATAAAATTCGAACTGGTACATTGAATTCCAGCCGATATTGGCATTGATTCACCGGTTAATTCTGATGTATTCACCTATATAGATAGTAGACGAGAAAGTAAAAAAAACTGTTCTCTCAAAATAAAATAAGAACTTCGAATTACTTTCAAACCATCAGAAGATATGAAACGACAATCTGCAGGTAATTTATCGCCCATTCGGATGAGAATTATATCACCTGGAACTAATTCATCGGTAATAATTTGTTGTTCTCTTCCGTCGCGTCGAACCGTTGCTAATGTTGGTATTAATTTCGAAAATGCTGCAACAATTTTAATTGATTTTATTTCTTGATAAGAATTCAACATTGAATTCAAAATAATGACGATAAATATTAAAATACCCAAAGCTAAATTTGATAAATCCGGATGAGCTGAACCAAATGCTTTGTAAGCTAGAAGAGCCAAAATACCACCACACCAAAGAATACTATTGAAACCTGCAAATAATTGTTTAAATAAAAGCCAAAAATAACTTGGAGGTTCAGGTGGCGTAAGTCTGTTGGGACCGTATTGAGCACGAGCATCTGGTACAGAGTTCGATGATAAACCGGTATTTGGATTAGTATGGAAGCGTTTGAATACTTCCTCCAATGCTATCATATGAATTGCCTGCTGTTCTGGATGAGCCTTTTCTATGCCGCCCCATAGTTCAACAGTAGAATCGTGCGTCGTAGATAATTGATGAGAAGGAGTATTACTACCGGTATTCAGCTGCTGATTTTTATCGTCTCGAGCATTTTTTTTATCCATGCTAAATGATAAATAGATTAAAATTTGATATAGATGAGATTGATGTTGTTTTTATAAATAATTGTAATTTCGATTTGTTTCATTTTGAGATTTCTGTTTAGATATTCTAAACAAAGATAAAAGTTAATCGAATTCCAACAAGTTGAAAAAACATTTTTTCAATACATTGAGATTTTACTAAAACTGCCACATCATTATTCCCTGAAGTTGAAGAAAATAAAGCTACAGTCAGTTCATGAATATTTCTTCTTAATTCTGATGATGAACGAATGCGTAGAAAGTGTTTACAGAAGCTTAAAAAGTAGTTTTCTCTATAATATATTCTTTCAACTATTTACAATTTTGTCTCGCTGTTATAATGAAGCAGATATTTTTGAAAGAATACAATTGTGTTAATCACTTTTTGCTGTATTTTACATAATTTCAAAAACGTTTGATCAATTTTCTTCATATTGACTACAGCATACATCAGATGCTGCTCGAATTGTTTCAAACTAATCTTTGAAAACTTTCTTTAAATGAATTCATCAAAAAATGAATCTTTGATTTTACGAACGATCCTAATCAACGAAATACTTTTTGTTTTTACATACGACAGAGCTTGAAAACAAAATACAAAATTATATCTGTCCTTTAACTCTTAAAAAATCACACTTTTCTAAAAATGGTATTAGAATTATACAGAGAAAACTGAATATTCTAACTGGCTGAGCGATGTCAGCTATTTCATATCGAATACTTAGATGCCAAAGTAGGCATTAAAGGATTCAATTATATATTGAATCATTGGAAAAATTCCAGAGTGACCATCAATAAACATAACAGGGGCGGTGGAGCGTCATTAAGTTAGGTGAGGCTCATAATGTTTTTTCTACCGTGGAATTTTATGAACGCATCAAGCAGAAAATAAGTCTTCTTTTTTATTGAACTGCAGTAAAAATAAAAATGGTCAGTATAAAAAAGATGATTGGAAAATACCAAAAAAGACTTTTTTTGCTCCTGTTTTGATGCAAGAATAAAAAAATAACAATATTCAGTACAAAAGTAAGCGAGGCTGAGCCTCATCTTGTGAAATATAGGTGAGGCTCAAGCCTCATGGGTCTCAATGGCTCCGCCGCCACTGAAACGTAATCAAGTGATTCGTTGACTAGATTACTAAAAGGACATATTTTCGTAGGCAATCTCTTCTCAATAGTGAGATTACGATTCTAGTAGGCAATTAAAATCTTATTACTACTCTGCGCGATTGATCTGAAACTCATTATTATGAATATCTTATAGCGACATGCGATGAAGCAATTTTTTTACAAAAAAGGTTTTCTTTTTCTCGTACATTGAAAACAATGATTCCGTTTAAATTATCCATCACCTAGTAATCCTTCCAAAGCTCAACAATGAAATATACTTTTTGACTAATATATTCTTAATCTAATTAGAATAATCGGACATTCTAACAACGAAAATTGTGTATTTGAAATCAGGTTAAAAGTAATAAATCGATGTATATTTGTCAAGCACTGCACCTTTCTCAAGATTATGTCGAAAACTCAAGCTAACCAAAGTGTAAACTTCAATGTGAAAATTTTCTTTTAAATCTTTAAAAATAAGTTATACTAATCCAAGACAAGCATATAGATCTTTTAGATTTTAAATACACATTTTTAGTTGAAAAAATAATCTCTCACTATTCTAATAAGAATCAATAAACTATCAGTCGAAAAGAATACTTTTTGGTACTCACAATTACTATGCGTTTGAATGAAGTATTAAGTCGATAAATTTAGATCTTGATAAATGTTTCATATTTTAGAACTGTGGTGAGAAAAAAAAACATTTCACAACTTGTCAGTTTAGAATGGTACATTGGTTTTTAAGCATAACAAGTAGAAAAAGTTTTTCATCACTGTCCTTGCATTTCATACACAAGGGAACAATATAATCTGAAAAAGAAAATAGAAGTACAACATTTTATCAAACTCCAATATGTAATTCAAACTGAAACAGCTGAAATCAACAGTCTACAGAAATACTGCTATCTATGATGGTGAAGCAGATTATACACAGACACACTTGTTTTGATGCTTAATTATCTAATACAAACTGTAATCGATTTCTTCAATCTGAATAGAGTTTTAGAAAAATACAAAATCTATTAAACAAGAAGATGAGTCTTCATCATTGAACTATTGCATTCCTCATTAACAAGAAAACATCATTACAGAAAAAAAAAACATTGCCAAGAAGCAGTCTTCACCAATATTAATCATGATTTCCATTTAGACGAACGACACTGTATATGAACCAATCACAATGTTATGAAAAGAGAAGAAAAAAAAGCATGTGAGCGTTAGTTACGCTTGGATGCGCAGTTAGAACCGTTTTGTATGTTCTACTTGAATGAATCGATATAGAATAAATATAGAAAAAAATCAAATCTCTCAAAATGCTCAGTACGAGACTTCGGAAAAATTCTAGGATACATTTATACGCCCTTACTACGAATAAAATATATACAAGGCAACAAAATATCAAAATTTAAAGAATTTAGTTCACTTAATATTATTGAAGAACAAAGATATCAGATGCAAAAGGCTCGTATATGAATCATCAAATATTAATATCAAAATATGCCAATAAAGTATAATAAACAGCTACTGCATTTAGAAACCTTCTTATTACTTAGATGTGACCAAAAGTTCTGTCATCATTAAATAAAAATGTAAAGATAAGGAGATACTTTTAATTTAATTTTATCAAATGTCGGGGATAGTTGCCAATATTATTTATTCCAAGATCAATATTTTCGAACAATTAATTAAAAGTGTTCTTGAACTCTTTTTCTGATAAAATTTTCAGCTATCTTGGATACCGCATGAGCACAGCAGATTTCATTTGTTTTAAAATTTAGCGAAATTTTATTCGATTATGTCAATTGCCTTTTAGAACTAACTAGTGATGAGATATGGATTTATTTTAGATAGGTTAGTTATCAATCATCTGATGCTAGCCGGCATATTGAAGATGAAGTTACAAATGGTATATTGAAAATTATCTGAAATATTTTTTAATGTAATTAATATAGGAACAAACAGAGACATCAGATTCAAAATTGCTTGATGGTCATCGCTGACTGCATGTTCATCCGATGTTATTTATTATTTTGACAGAAGAAGGCAGTAATATATTTCGTATCCGCCACGTTGATCATACCTAATGCTGCATAGTATTTGGTTAAATAATTCTATTGCACGAAGTTTAACTAATAAAATAAATGAAATGTGCTGTGCTCATGCGGTATCCAAGATAGCTGAAAATTTTATCAGAAAAGGAGTTCAAAAACACTTCTAATTAACTGTTCGAAAATATTGATCTTGGAATAAATAATATTGGCAACTATCTCCGACATTTGATAAAATTAAATTAAACGTATCTCCTTATCTTTATATTTTTATTTAATGATGACAGAACTTTTGGTCGCACCTAAGTATTTCTTCCACAAACACCAACAAAAAACAAATATACGAGACTGAAGGTAAATTGAATAAAGTAAAAAAGTAAAACTATCATATAAGTGAGTTTACATAAATATTTCTATAAAAAAAAAAGATAAAATGTTTCAAATCTTTTAACAATATAGGACCAACAAATTATTGCAAACCTCTTTACTAGTTGATATTCTTACTTTACTGAATCCTAATATTCCATTCTACGTTCGTTAGCAATAGTGGAATACTAATCGATAAAATCGTAGCAAGAAATATGTGCTAGTTTTGATTTTTATCCGAAAATGGATTATGATTAAGAACTAGAACATATCTTCATCAATAACACATAAGTCAACAGTTGCATCTTGTCTTCCGCTCGATCATGTTTCAATAGAATACGTTATGAATTTCAATCTAACTAAAATTTCAAACGTGTTTACATTATTCTAATTGTAAAATATTTAATAATAGTCTCTTGTTTTCTCAGTAAATCAACATTCTAAATGGAGTAATGCTTTTTTTGATTTTGATGATCATACACAGGCATTGGAGACTTTTGACTTGCTGATGTACCTGAACAAGACACGAATATATCAATGGCTGGTTTTGATTGAACTTATACATCAGCAAAGATGGATATGTGACGTAGGATATTTTCGGTCAGGATTCAAGTATTTCCTGAAAATATTCGCAGTGAAGCTGGCTCCAACTAAGGAGTTGTTGGTTCCAAGTAGGCCTTGACGAGCTCTATCCACTGGAATGTTTTTTTCTGGCCCAGGAACCTCCTTCCGTCCAAAAACCCTTTCTACTGCTAAAAAACACGAAAAAACTCGCGATTCGCTCAACGACTGGTTCCAACAAAACCACGTCTGGTTCTGGGGTGTGGGTATGGGTGTGACTGCTGATTTAATATTAATACGTACCCACATCCCCACACACCCAAACCCAGTGTTTTCATATTGAAAAAAATTAATATGTCGGAGAACGATCATTTGACCGATTTTAAATGAATGCAAATTGAAAACGACTTAGTTTTGTTTTTGTTCTCTTTTTTGTTTCAATGTATTCTTAAGTGCATGCTTCTTCAATTAGTAAAAATAATTGGCATATAGAAAGAAAAAAGTGGCGCCATGTTGTGATGAAACCAATATAGCAATTTCAGAAGGATTTCTATCAAATGGTCTCAGTAAAGTATCGATTACTTGATATTCAGTGTACTTCCTTTTTTTTCGATTTTCAAGTCAATTTGGCAAAAAATAAAACTAATGAAAGAAGGGATTTTGCCATCTTTCAACATTGATACTCATAATCAAATAGGATCTATTTACTCGCAACGAATACGAAACGGCTCCAGTGTCTATCACACATCGAGGAATTGCTGCTTAATCATGATGATTGGACAATATTTCTAAAAATCAGAAAAATCTATTTACTGAGAAGCATCGGTTCACTCAATCAAACTCATGCAGAAATGAATGCGTCATGTTTTGTTGATTCACTGTTTTAAGAAATATCTAAAATTATAGGAATTGAAAAATCTGTTGGAATGAATGAGCTTCTTAATTTTTAAGGCTTCATATTGAACTTGCATATATAAATCCTTCTGCTCCTCCACGAATATTCATACTGTCACAGGTTCGATTCTGCCAATTGTTTTTTGCCATTTTATATAAATCAAATGTGCTTTTCTTTGAACAAAATTCAAATTTGAGAGAAAGATTAAGAAAAGAAATTCATTGGATATATTTTCTTCGAATTCTCGAAAATTGAACTCAATTTATGCATATAGATTTCTCATCAATTTAGTTAGCATTTATTTTTGAGTTTTGAATGCGAATGAAATTTGAAAAATCTAAATAATCAGGCCAATCTGTAATTGACCCAATTATTTAATGGATACAACATAACACGTAGCAGACTGGCATATCATTCGAAGAAAATAATGCTAAACGACAGAATCATATTTGATGAAAGAAACGAAAACAAAAAGCATTTTTACGGCTTTGTGAAAGGCCGTTGAAAATAGGCATATGTCGATGCTATACTGTGCACATGGCCTTGCTAACCCTATCGAATATCAACTGATTTTCATACGTCAACTTTATATCAATTAAACAACTAGCTATTATTTAGGTATTAATGGTATTAGTGGAGAGAAGTATTTAAAGTCTGGTCTCATATTCAATTGTGAGGAAACGGTAGTGTAACTCGTATTGACAACATGTTGCTAGCTAGATGACAAGTGCAATAGCTGACTGTTAATATCGCTTTAGGATGTTTTTAAAGTAAGATGATTTATGTAGTAATCGATAGAGAAATACATTCGATATTATTTATCAATTGTACGAGTTTGTAATATCTTGAATTTTAGTATATTCACTATTTTTTCCCTAGAGTCAGTCGTCCGAAGAGATTTTCTAGATTTGACAAACCTTTTAGTCAAATTAAATCTTATATTACTCTGGGGCTTGCATTTTTCTTGTTTACTTTTTAGTTTCTTTTATTCTGAGTGTAAGATGACTGTCACGCGTCATCTTATAACATTTTTTCTTCTAATTAAACTGTTAGTTGGTACTAACGTTGATGTTCGTTCAGCTGAACTTTCCGAACGAATCGATTGTTTTCCTGAAGCTGAATCGAAATTTTCCTACTACTCCAAAGATAATTGTTTGGCACGGGGCTGCCTATTCGATGAATGGTCTCCTGCAGGTGTAATACAATGTTATGTAAATCCTAATTATGGATATATATTACGAGAAAATGCACAGCAAACTTCAAATGGTATTCGATTACGATTACGAAGAAATCAAGCAGTCAGTAGTATGTTTCCATCACCTATTGAGAATGTTGTACTTGATGTACAACATTATACCAATGATATAATTCGATTTCGATTATACGATGAAGACAATCAACGATATGAGGTTTAACAAAATATAGCACAAGGAAATGAATCTTTTTTTTTCATTTAATTTCAGGTACCAATCCCATTATCGCCTGCCTCTGCTCAAGTATCATCACCACAATATGAATTTATTCATGGAGCCGATTCTTCTCGTGGCAATGCTCATTCATTTTCGATTAAACGTCGATCAAATCAAGCTACGTTATTCGATACATCACTTGGTGGTCTTATTCTTAATGATCAATTTCTTCAAATAGTAACACGTCTTCAATCACCACATGTGTATGGATTTGGTGAAAATAATCATGATACATTAAAACATAATGTTAATGAACGTAAAACATGGGGTATCTTTGCACGTGATCAAGGTTTGTCATTGAAAAATTTTAATTAATTTCTTTAGTAAATTTTATTTATTTAAAGGTACTCATTGGGGTTCCAATGCGAATCAATATGGATCACATCCATTTTATCTTGTTATGGAGCAAACAAGCAATTCTGGCCAATCTCCATCAGGTAACATGCATGGTGTTCTTTTACTCAATTCGAATGCTATGGACTATACATTTTCATCGGTGCCATCATTAACAATGCGTACAATTGGTGGTATTCTCGATTTTTTTGTATTTCTTGGTCCAAAACCTGAACAAGTTGTTCAACAATATACATGGTTAGTTGGTCGATCTATTTTACCACCTTATTGGTCACTTGGTTTTCAAATTGCTCGTTGGGATTATGGAAATTTAACACATATGCAACGTGTAGTTAAACGAAATCGTGATGCTGGAGTTCCAATTAGTGTTCTCTATGCTGATATTGATTACATGGATGCTGAAAAAGATTTTACTATTGATCCAATTAATTTTCGTGGAATGAAAGAATACTTTGCTGAATTGAATGCTGATGGAATTCGAACTATTGTCATTTTGGATCCAGCTACAGTTGATGATCAAGTTCATTATGCGCCAACAATTGAAGGTATTCGAGAAGATGTATTTATTAAATGGGATGATGGAAAGACATTAATGAAAGGATCCTGTTGGCCCGGCGATGTTTTCTTTCCAGGTGAGTAAGAAAATAGATTCTATTGTCTCTAATTTGAAATATATATTTCATTTTCGATCATTCGATCAATTTTGAAAGAAATATCGTATTTTAAAAATGCAAGAATATTAATTATTATCTTTTTCAATGATAGATTTTTTTACAAATCGAACACAAAATTGGTGGTCACGGTGGATCAAAGATTTTCGACGTGTTAATCTTACATTCGATGGCCTTTGGATTGATATGAATGAGCCTGGTAAATGAGTCTATTAATTATTTATCAAGAAATTCGATATTTTGCTATTTTCTAACAGCTCTATTTGATACCAATGAAGCAGAACCATGGAATTCACATGACACTGGTAGTACTTATACACTCAAATGTCCAATTAGTAAATTTGATGATCCTCCATATCGTACTAAAGCTGCCTTTCGCTATGATGGTACAATGACTCGACCAAGTCGTCTATCCGACCGAACTCTTTGTTTATCAGCTCAACAAGGTGAAATTGATATGAAAACTGGTAAACCAAAATATCGTCATTATGATGTTCACAAGTAAGATAAGTATTTGATATCATTTAAAAAATGAATCACATTTATTTGGTTAGTTTGTATGGATGGAGTCAAACAAAACCAACCTTAGATGCAATGCAACAAGCAACAGGTAAAAGAAGTTTAGTTTTACCACGTTCGACTTTTGTTGGTTCCGGTCAATGGAGTGGCCATTGGCTTGGTGATAATGGTGCAAAATGGGAAGAAATGAAACGATCTTTAATTGGAATGGTTGAATTTAATTGGTTTGGTATTCCATTTAATGGTGCTGATATTTGTGGTTTTGATGGAATTCCCAGTGAAGAAATGTGTATCCGGTAAACAGAAAAAAAAATATTTGATTATGAATTTATTGAATCATTCATTTTCTATGTAGGTGGATGCAACTTGGTGCGTTCTATCCATTTTCTCGAAATGTAAGTTTCAAAAGCATTCATATTTTGTTTTATACATTCACAATTGTTTACTATTTTCTTTAGCATAATATTTGGAAACTACCAGATCAAGACCCAGCTGTATGGTCACCATCAGCGGTAGCTATTATGATTTCAGCTCTTCATATTCGTTATACTCTTCTTCCATATTATTATACACTGTTCTATAAAGCACATACCCAAGGTTCAACCGTCATTCGACCATTATTTCATGAATATCCAACTGATAAGACAACACTTGATATCTTTCTTCAATTTCTTATTGGATCTGGTCTTATGATAGCACCTGTTACAGATGATGGAGGTCGATATGTTCAAGTTTATATTCCATCATCACATTGGTACAATTTTCACACGGGCGCACGAATTGCTGTTCAAAGACAATATATATGGATGTCGGCACCATTAGACACGATCCCAATCTTCATTAAAGGTGGAGCTATTTTGCCTACACAAGGCTACGCTGAAAATACGAAATTTTCAAGGTGAATATATGACTCATTCATATTTAAAATGATTTTTTTTTGTTTCTTTATTTAGACAAAAACCATTTGGTCTTATAGTTGCACTTGACGCGAACAGTAATGCTGAAGGTGATCTCTTCTATGATGATGGTGAATCAATCGATACAGTTGGTTCAAAAGCTTATTACTATGCTACATTCCGGTGGTCATCTAATACTCGACAATTAACAATTAATGTTATTGAAAATAATTATTCTTCTATGTCAAATTTAACTTTAGATACATTAACGATCTATGGATTAAATGATATACCATTAAAATTCACTGCCAATAATAAAGATTTTACACCAACAGTACGACCACAAAGTCAAATTATTGAAGTAACAGGATTAAAATTACCCATGGGTGCAAGTCATGCAATAACATGGCAATTTCCAGAGATAGCAACAGTACAAAGACCTGATTTTATTAATAAAGATCCTAAATATCGAATTGATTGTCATCCTGATCCGAGTAAGGTGTATCATTCTTTTAAGATGAAATTTAAACAGACGACTTCTTCTTTTAGATGCTAGTGATTTTTCATGTAGAAATCGTGGATGTATATGGGACACTAGTTTTGGAAATGGCATCGTTGCTTGTGTTGTTCCACAAGAAAAAGGTGGTTATGCTTTAGCAGGAACTCCACAAAATGTTTCTGATGCTATGACACACTATGGACTTTCGCGTATTTCTGCAGCTAATCAATTTTCTTTATTTGGAAAAGATATCAATAAATTAAATGTTCAAGTCAGTGTGTCAGGTACCGATATGATACGTTTGACAATACGTGATTCAGATGCAAAACGTTATGAAGTTCCTGTACCCATTCGATGGAATCCTGTTGCTCCATCTTCATCGAATGGTGCTAAAATTAAATTTGAAATGACTAAAAATGAAAATGGACAAGCTGGTTTTCGTGTTCGCCGCACAAATACAAATTCAATTCTTTTCGATACATCATTTTTTGCCGAAGGTTTCATTTATGATGATAAATATATTCAAATGATTACAACTATTCCATCTAGAAATGTTTATGGTAAATCGAACATTACAAAAAGAAAAAAAAACAATGTATTTTTGTTTTAGGTTTTGGTGAAAATACTCATCAATCTTTTCGACATGTTCTTAAAGGATCACATCGTTATGGTGTATTTGCTCGTGATCAACCACCATATGGTGGACATGAGAATTTGTATGGTACACAGCCATTTTATATGGTTATTGAAAATGATGGACAAACATTTGGCATACTTATTTTCAATTCAAATGCGCAGGATTATAAGTTTGATGAATTTTCTGATGATCAAGCTATGCTTACTTATCGAACAATTGGTGGCATTTTGGATGTTTTATTTTTTGCAGGATCACATCCAGAAGATGTTATTCGACAATATCAACAAGTAATTGGTACTCCTTATATGCCACCTTATTGGGCACTTGGATTTCAACTTTGTCGTTATGGTTACGATTCATTGAATAACATGAGAGCAGCAACGTTAAGAACAATCAATGCAAATATTCCTTTGGATGTTATGTTAGTAAAAACTGATAAGGAGAGAGAGAGAGAGAGAGAGAAGAAATATCTTTTGTCTTTTTATCGATTAGGTATGGTGACATAGATTATTTTCGAAAACGACTTGATTTTACTTATGATCCAGCGAATTTCAGTGGTTTACCTGATTATGTTAATTGGCTACATTCAAATGGCATGAAATTTATTACAATTCTTGATCCAGCTATTGATTCTGAAGAACCAAACTATTCGGTTTATGCTGAAGGACAACGCGATAATATTTGGATTAAATGGCCAACACGTCGTAATGTTCAATACAGTGAAACCGGTAATCGAAATATGGTTGGCTATGTATGGCCTGATGGTAAGTATATCATTAGAAATTATTTTCTATGTAGAAAAAAGAAATTGAAATGATTAAATATGTGCATTGCTTTTCTTTTTCTTACAATTGAATCACTCATTTATATTGAATTCTATATAGAATTTGCAATTGTAAAAAGTTATTTCTATAAACTTATAGGTAAAACGGTATTTCCGGACTTTTTCTATCCACCAGCAAAACAATGGTGGAAATCACAAGTCGTGAACTATTATTCTCAATTGAAATTCGATGGTCTTTGGATTGATATGAAGTAAATTTCATTTTTTATTCTTTTCCATCTTTGTCTTTATGATACATATATATATATATATAGCGAACCAGCTAATTTCGATACAAATAGAGAAAAACCATTTAATTGGAATCGTCCAGAACCATGGAGTCTTCATTGTCCTTTGGATGAACCATTAGAAACACCAAAATATAAAACATCAATTTTAGGTGATTATCTCTCGGATAAAACTCTATGTATGATTGGTGAACAAACAGATGAACAAGGTAATATCTATACTCATTATGATGTACACAATCTATACGGATGGTCAGAAACAATGGCTTCATTACCAGCTGCTAGAGCTACAGATAATAAACGATCGGTTGTTATTAGTCGATCGACATTTCCAACTTCAGGGTCATTCAGTGGTCATTGGCTAGGTGATAATTCAGCACAATGGTCACATCTTAAATATAACATCATTGGAATGTTAGAATTCAATTTATTTGGTATTCCCTATGTTGGTGCTGATATTTGTGGATTCGAAGGAGACACAACTGAACAAATGTGTCAACGGTGGATGCAATTAGGTTTGCTTTTGTTTTTTAATTTGAATCTTTCAATTATTTCTGTTTCTTTTTAGGTGCTTTCAATCCATTCTTCCGAAATCATAATGGTTTAAAATTTAGAGATCACGATCCAGGTAATTTTGCTCCAGCTGCTGTTGCATCGAATCGTCGAGCGGTGATAACACGTTATCAATTAATTCCATATTTATATACATTATTCCATCGTGTGCACATTTCAGGTGGTACTGTAGTTCGTTCTATGGGCCATGAATTTCCATCAATAACTGATTGCTTACCGCTCGATGAACAATTTCTTTGGGGCTCACATTTACTTATTGCTCCAGTTATCTATGAAAATAATTTTAACAAATGGGTTTATTTACCAACAACTGAACGATGGTTCGATTATTATACTGGTGAAGAAAAAACAACACTTGGAGCAATAACAGTTCCTGCACCGTTGGATTTTATTCCATTATTTTTACGTGGTGGAGCTATTATACCTCATCAATTATCTGCTTTGAATACGGTTATGTCGCGTAAGAAACCAATGTATCTTATTGTTGCACTTGATAATAAACAACAAGCTACAGGAGATCTTTTCTGGGATGATGGTGAATCGATTGATACCTATGAAAAATCGATTTATAATTATTTCATTTTCAACTGTGATTCATCACATTTAACCATCGACCGATGGACATATAAGTATCCTGAGATGGGTAGTGAGATCAAATTAGAAGAAATTAAAATATTTGGTATCAATAAACAACCAAATAGAATTACATGGAATGGACAAGATTTAACACCAATGGCCAAGTGGACATTTGATCCAAACAAAAACATTTTGATTATGAAAGATTTGGCATTGGATTTTTCTAAGACACATAAATTTGCTTTTCTTCAATAATAATTCTGCCAATTTTGATTCATGATGAAATATCTTTTCTGATAAAATCACTTTTTAAAAGTTAAAATAATACGGTTAAATTTCAATTTTGATTCTGATCAAATATTGAAATATGATATGCTATAATTTTTTAAAGTCTCATAGATATTGAATTGAAGCATTTTCAATAAGAACCCATGTAAAAAGAAATCATAAACAATTTGATTATAATTGATTTCTGTGCGATTATAATCTATTTTAATGGCACTATTATAATCTGATTTTTCCATCTTAAAAGACAGATTATTTTTGATTTTGATTTTAACTTAGTACCTAAAAAACTATAAGAATCGATTAAAATCAAAATCAAAAATAATCTGCCTTTTAAGATGAAAAAATATAATTAAAATCAGATTATTAATCCAATGCTTTTTACATGGGAACTGCTTAATAACCAGTAAAATAAGGTTGTGACAGCATCTTCGTGCTTTGGTCATCTCACAGCGCATCGAACCACGTCAGCCGAGCAAACAAGCGTGTGGGTACGAATATAGAGCGAAACTTCCATGAAATGTGATCGACATAACTCACATCAATTTTTAGTGAGATGAACATAAAAAGCAAAGCAAAAACTTTCGGGTTTCTGGTTGCTAACGATGAACTTTCGCTTTCCATATTCATAAATGGTTAAATCTCTCTCTCACGGACTTTTTTTTACAAGCAAAAAGAAAAAGTCTTTTATATTAATTTTGGTATGTATAGAAAAGGTCGAAAAAAAATGTCGAATAGTAAAAAGGCAGAAAAAAAACGCCGAATGCTGAAAAGATTGAATGTTAAGAAGATCGAAAAAAAAGATCGAAACAAAAAATGTCGAATGATAAAAACGTCGAAAAAAAAATGCCGAAAATGTTAAAATAAGATAGCTTGGATTATTCAAATATAAATAACTTTATTGATGCTTTAAAAATAGAACTCGTTTAAAATCAGACCTATATGAGTGTGGTATGGATGTGCGTATGAGTGAGGAGGAGGGCGACTGTGCGGGTGAGCATGAGGGTACGGGTGAGGATGTGGGTACTCTTAACGGCAATGCCAACATCTGAACGCTCTAGATCATCGTGTCATACTATAAAAAAAAGTTAAGTTCTATACCGAACTTAAAAAGGTTCAGCAAATAATACGAAACCTAAAAAGGTTCTTCCCTCGGTCGATGAGAAGAATCTTTTTTAAGGTTTCGAAAAAATTCTAAAAAATTTCGTACCAATCGACAGAACTTAAAAAGGTTTTGCATGAAAGTACCAATCCTTCAGGTTTAGTGATAAGCCTTTTAAGGTTTTGCACAGAACCTAAAAAAATTCTGCCCGTCTGCCCGAGTGAAGAACCTTTTTTAGAGTGTACAATGGACAATCAGAAAAATATCATAAAATAACTGTAGCTGTCAGCAGGATACAATTCAATGCTAAATTGTTTACTTAAAGCATTCTCGACTTTTTCGATATTTTTGTAAGTTCGACATTTTTTCTTTCGATACTTTTATCTTTCGGTTAGTTTTTTTCGACATTTTCTATTTCGACGTTTTTTTTTCGACGTTTTTCGTTTCAACATTTTTTGTTTCGACCTTTTCTATACCATTCTTAATTTTAGCTCACTATTGATGATTTGAATACAGCTACATATGCTCAATTTCTGGCATGCATACGTCTTATCGGGTGTTGGTGTCTTTTTCTACACACACGGATGATTACGATAATCAACGAGTAATGCGATGTTTTTTTTTTCGCGGTCGAACAAAAACCAGACAACATGATTGAAAATGGACATTAGGGGTAGCTGATGATGTGGGTGTGGGTATGACGTGCGTGTATGTATGCGACTCTTCTCTACATACTCAAACCCATCAACATCTACATCTACACCCACATTTATGACATACTATATCATTTATATCAAGATTATGTCCAGCAATTCGCTTTAATTTGTATATTTTTTGTTGCAATGTATTTAATTTTTCTCTTTCTTTTTTTAAATATTCATTGAAATAATCATGTTTTGAATGAGTGTTTTTCATCATGGAAATAAATATGGAAAATATCCAATAATAAATAAAAATTAACATAAAACAAATTATTAATAAAAGTCACTTATTTTGATTTAATAAATAATCAAGAGATTGTGGTCGCTAAAAAAAATCAAAACATTTAATTAGATATGTTCGATCTGTATCAAATCAAAGAAAAAATTCATTTTACTCTTTTTCTATATACTCTCATTTATCATTTTATCAAACGTTTGTTTTTGTATTTTTTTATCTAAAGTATTATTTGTGGCATCAGTATAAGATGACGTTATGACAAAAATTATGTTATCTAGAAGAATAATGAATAACGATAAGTAAGAATAAAATTCTCACTTGTTCTCAAGGGGGGAAAAGCAGATCGCGGGATTGTGGGATTGTATGGATCGCCACCGTATCCCGGATACGAGAATATCATGAAAATAGAAAGGATCAAAAGTGAAATGACGTATTCACGAATCGGATTTTGTTTCTTGGATAAAAACGGTGACGTCAAAATTACTGAGTATCACAAGTAGAAGTTCATTTATGCCGTTCTATAAGTCAATATTCATGCAGTATCATTGAATTTGCCTTCAATCAAAGTTCTTACAGTTTTCTGATTTTGAAATACGTATCAAAAATAACAGTTTTAAAGAATGTTGACCTAAATTGTTTAAAAATATACTGTTCAGTTACGAAAGTGTGTAAATATTGCTGAGAACATTACCCACAAAAAAAGTACTTTTGTTTGGTCTTTTATTATAGACATATTTCAGCGAAAACAGATCCGTTTTTATTGAACTGTTCATTGTTTACATGCTTTAACTTGATATAATAATCGTAAAAATGCAGTTCATCAATACTAAGAGATGCACAGCAAAATGATCATGTTTGCAGTACTATATGAATATTGACATCCCATGAAGAAATCGTGCTAGAAAGCTGATATTTTGACTGTAGTAGAATTTCATAGAGAACGTTCTGTGACAAAAATTTAATGCTCTAAATAATTGAAAACACTACGCTGTCAAGGACCGATTTCACAAAATACTTTATCAATAGAAGTTCCATTAGTGTGATTTTCCGGAACATAATGAATACCGTAAAGTTCTGTAAGAATTAACATGGAATCTCCTAGAATATGTTTGGGTGACTTATTGTAAGATACTCACAGGTGACCCATTTTACCTTGAAAATAGACTAGACTTCACTTGAAAATTAATAGAAAAATTTCATAAAGTAAAATAAAAAGTATTCAGTAGACTAAGTATATAACCTTCTATAGGTTCTCCCAAAGACTCCTCTAAAGAGAAAAAGAATGAAATTTTCTGAAAATCTCCGTAGAAATATACGCGGATTTCATTTTCATATGGTTAAACAATAGAAAGTAATCGATCCCCCTCTTCAGTGCATCTTTTTTATCATGGACTATTTTTGTTTCTTGCTATTTTTGATAACTTTCTAGTGTTCAGAGCCACTAGACTATTTTTTACCATACTTTTGTATTTTAGTCGGTTTCTTAAGATTTCTGCGAATTGTTTTGAACTCAATTACTTTAGAATCTATGTATAACCACCAGAATCTCTTATGTACGCATTAGTTCGTTCTCAATCGAAGGTTAATAAAATATTCCTGTTCAGGATTCTTTATAACTAAGTCTCTTATTCATAAAATCAATAGCTGTGTAGTAGAATGCTAAGAATATAAGCACTCATACAATATATAGAAATCCACAAAAACAGTTGTTAGTATTATTATTTAAACTTCTGAAAACAGATTTTTTAATTTTTATTCAAAATTAGAAGAAAATAGTTAGCAACGAACATGTCTGTTTTGAAGAAGAAAGACGGGCAATGAGGTTATAATAAATTTTATTAGTCAGCGTTTCTTTAAAGTACTTGCTAAAAACATCTTAATGAAAATAAAACCTCAGGCCATTATTTACAAAACAAGAAAATAATCCGATGATATAATAAAAACTACCCCATCGCATCTAATGGAATTGAAAAGGACAAGATCATTTCATCTCATTATAAGCTCCTTTTTAAAAATTAACCAGACATGTGCTGATCAGGTATCTTAGGAGATTAGGCTTTTCAAAGCGGTGACTTTGATAAAAATCCTGATTTTTTTGAACAGTTGTATAGGTCATAGAAACTATCTAGAGAGCCAAGACTTCTGCTAAAGAAACTATTCAACAAGATATTTTTATGAGTAGAATTTCAACTTTGTAATATGATCAAGTTACGAGATATATTTATCCACAAAACATCTATATATGATAATTTCCTTGTATACATGGCAATACTGGTCCATCTACTCATATTTCATTCATTTGACCTTATTTTTATACGAAAAATGGATGAGCTTGAAATGTATGTATGTTCAAAATTTCGACGTAAATAAATGTATAGTTATCGAGAAATGCACGTAGACATATTCAAAAAAAAAGAGTAGCTTTTTGCAGTTAGGTTCTCAAAACATTTAAACACCTTACAACGGAACGACATTTGTTCAAAACATTTGTACCGTCATCCTTAAAATTAGTTTCCTATACGTATATGAAAGTTAGCAAAGTCAAACAATTTCGATTGGAAACAAGTTCAGTATTTACTTATGTTGGATGACTTTTATACCTATTAACTCGGTAAAATATTTTGCACAGATTGAATAGACATAAAACTAGCAGATCTAGCTGGCACTGTGCAAATCGAATTGTTATTTCTCTTACACTTAATCCATTTTACTACATGAAAAAATATGCTCATGGCAAAAATAAATGACAAAAAAAACATTAAAAATTTGCTTCAAATCGAATGAATTTTTTCATCAGCAGTGACTCATCGTACTAGTATTACATCTATCCTATATATTTTGAATTTTTCGATGAGATGAACTCGTATCCTCGGTATCTGTAATGTATCGTGCGTATCGTACGGATCGGATGGATCGCCATCGTATCCTC